TTGCAATCTGTAATGTTTCTAGCTTTAATACAGTCGCGAATGCATCCCATAGTTTCGGATGCAACGTACTTGTTGACGGATAACGTTCTCATCCGACAATGATAATCGTCCAACATCGCGCAAACTTGATACATTATATAATGAGAAAGTATCTCCTTGCAGCTAGGAATAATGCATAATGGAACTAATACACGAAACAATTATTATATAACGTATAGTCCTCGTGTATAACACATGAAGAAGATGTAAAGCATTGTTTGCAATTTAATATCGCTCGCATTAGATGAAACAAATGTTCCATAAGGATATTATCCCTAAAGGAGTAATTTGCACACTTGGTACAATCCGTTAATTACGAACAACGTTTCGTATCACACGATGCGATCATATTATCAATTTCAATGAAGCTCATGTTATAATGACTATTACTCCATAATATTATAGTATTAAATTGCAACTCTATATCGCACGTTTCCGATTATCTGTTATCTATTTCATATATATATTGTCTATTTCATCGATTGACATCGAATAAAATGGGAGGATAAAAGATCCTCAATATCAAATCGTATTACGCGGCAACAAGATTTTATGTCTCTTCAAACTCAGTGGTTATTAACTGAATTGAAGGGACCGAAGGATCTCAGGACAATCCAAGATACCGCAAAAAAGGTTACAAATATACAGAGCCACTAATCGTTAAACTTCTATGTGGACTTTCCGGAGAATTGCTATTTGCCATCGTCTGAGTTTACAGAATATTGTCGATGTTTTTTACATCTATCGGTACTAATTAAAGTTACCTGCGAAATGTCTGCCGACAGAAAGTTTTCCTAATTTATGGCACTGTAGTATAAAGTATACACAAAGATTATGGCGCATAAAATATACGTATGGTGTATGCAGGTGCATATTATTTTACAAAATAGCATTGATTTAAGACTTATGATTATGAACAAAACGAATAAAATAATTGGAAAAAAGTTAACCGATAAAAATTTGAAAAATTTCCTCACTTGTCAAGAAAAGCTTGTCTGTTTAAAATTCTTATCATAAGATATGCACTTAGCTAAAATATATTTGACTTGCGTCAAGAGGGAATATGAAAATTTGATAGCTTTCGATATGACATGCAATAAGAAATTTTAAAAATGATGAGAAGCAAACTTTCTGAAATATTTATGTAGCATTTATTTTTATTGGTATCGCACATTTAACAATAAATTAATTTATGAATAAGTTTATAAGTATATAATTTTTTTCTTGTCTTACATCTTACACGGGCAAAAATTTGGCGCAAGTATGTTTATATTAAAAATATAAATAAATATATTAGAAATATAGATAGATACTACATTTATGAATCAGAAATTTATTATTATATATTTTGCAAATTTGTTTACTTCAATCCATGGTTTTGCTTAACGGGCAATAACAAATTTTCATATACAAGTTATATCGGAGAGATAGAATACATATGATATATTTATATTATATGAAATAAATTATCTCTGTCGAAAATTTTAGTTAAAACTCGATCGAATTTGTTATTTGTCGTTAACAAATTCGACGAAACGTACAAATAGCTTTGCTTAGCGCGGTAAAAGCGCGCGTTTCTACGATCGCTGAATACGCATATATAAAAATGACTTGATTCCAAGCACCGCGCGCATCGATATGATTTCACGCGAAGGGAATCGAGCGATTCCGGCCGCCCTATGAACTCCATGGCAATTGCGACTAAATTATGCCATTCGACATCCCGGAACGAAGAAGAGGAAGAAAAACGCGCGTTCCGAGCCCCATTCCCGCGATCGTAGATGCGAGATAACTTTTCTCCGCTTGGTCGTATCTTTCGCGCTGATCCCGACGACGAATGGGGTCATCCTCCAAGTTTTTCGAGTTCGACCAACGAGCTTGCACATTCAAAAGGAGAAAGAGAGAGACTAATCGTAGAGAGAGAGAGAGGGAGAAAGAGAGAGACGAGTCGTAGAAATTTCATGGTACATTGCGTGAATTTGACCCAACCGATAATTTTTTCACACTTTCAAATATATAATAAAGCATTTCGATAATTGTCGTGCTTGCAAAAATGAACGACTAATTTGAATTGACAAGCAAATTAGTCACTATACCGACCGATTTACTCTCGTAAATGGTTTCTTTGCCTTGCGTCGATTTCGTCAGCGTGAATTTCTCACGCGGATTATGAGAAGACATCGTGATCGAGTCGATGTTGCATGAACATCGGAGCGATTTCTTGCGGCGGTTTCCAATATGGTTCCCGTCGAGCAAATAGAAGAGGCAGCGAATATCGCCGCTAATATTAACTACGGAATTTCCAAGGCATTGTACGCACCTCTAATCCAACGTGAACAAAGTGAAGAGAGAAAATCCCGAGGAGCGACTAAATATCGAAATGAAACATTGCACATCCAAATTAATTGCCACGCAATTTATTATAACATTTCGAATGTATGGTGCAATATTCGATGATAAATATTCCAGAAAAAAATGAATATGGCTCTTGCGCTGCGATATATAAAAAAAGCATGATTGAGATCATTTGCTGCATTGAAAAATCCGGATATCCGTCAGGTCGTAATGCAATGTCGGAATATCCACAAATCCGACAAATCCCAATTTCATCTACACCATGTACGAATATTCCCAGTCGAAATAGTGGATTTTGTAAAACAACGTTTCCGCTCTAGGTGACAGTGACATATTCATCATCGCATCGCGTATACTCATCTAATCAGAGATTGCATTTTCGAAGAGAGAAAGAGAGAGAGAGAGAGAATTATTATATCTGGCGTTCCATTAAATAAATATGAGCGAAATATATAAGAGAAATTAAGCTATTAAAGGGAATATCTCTCACGGATTTCGTGTTTTGTATCGATCACGAACGCTGCAAACGATATATAAAAACAGCTGTGTAGTTTCTGACCCTAGGTTTTTCTCTTGCACTCCGTTAAATTAATTTGCGCATAAACCATGGTTAAAACGCATCAGCCATAAAACATTACGATTTATTTCTAGAAGAGATGTGTACTCCGCTTTAGCACCGCGAATCTGATTTATTCACAAAAAAGGCTGCATTTTTTTATAAATTGCTTCGCAGAAGAATAACCGTAAATAAGAGGTTCAAAAATTCCTTTTTGAAATTTGTACTATCGTTAATTTTTTGAGAAACTTTATCGTATTTCGGAGATAACGAATACATGAGTATTATATCATCTAATTCATTTATTACATACAAATGAATAAAATCCATGATTCAACGGACCGAAGGTGAAAAGTCTGATTGTCTCTAAATATTATTAATGTATAGCGTAATGTACATAATGATAAATGAATCGTGAGACCAATCATGTCGCAAATTCTCGTAGTGCGCTTTCAAGACAAGTTTGGTTCTGTGAGGCAAGTTTCTGATACGGCGAGCTATTATTACGCTTGCAAGGGTCAGACTCGCAAAGGTAGTTAACGTGCACGATATAAATTACATAATCTGAAGGGAGAACTATGTCGGATGCGGGGGAAGAGAGAAATGCAGCAAACGTGACGTAGCAAACCGGTACAAGCCGTGGGCGGTAGAGACGAAATCTTATCATCGATATCCGCCGGGATTTCAAGTGCCAGGTAAACAGACTCGTATTTGAGATTTCCCATGCGGGGTTGACAGAGAGAGCGAGAGAGAGAGGGAAGAGAAAGAAGGGAGGGGGGAAAGAGAGAGAGAGAGAGAGAGAGAGAAAGAGGCAGAGAAAGGTCAGTTTCGAAATCAGAGGGAAACGGAAACGATGGAACGAGCTGAGACCGGCAAGAGAAGATGGATATGAGGGAAGACGCTGGCAGCGAAAATGCAAAAGACAGAGAAAGGGAAGAGAAAGGGAGAGAAAAGGGAATAACGATGGTCTCTTCAAGTGACCCGGTGCGTTTTTTCAGGACAATTCGATACGAATAAAACCAATATGTTTCCTAAGGCATCTTTATTGGACGAACTTTTATCCGCGTTAGATCGATCCAGACAGGCCAGGGAATTGCATCTTCCAATATCTCGTGGATTATAATTCTTTCCGTCGCGCGTTAAAAATGCATAATGTTACGCATTTATTCGCGGATTCATCTTTCGCGATTGATCGCTTTTCATCTTTAATTTTTTTAATCCTCTTGCGCGCATTTTAAGTAGGATCAAAGGATATGACGTTTACGTTTAGTTTTGCCGGTAAAGCTCGTAGGTTTTCGTAGATTTCCATATATATCCATATATATATATATATATGTATCTCGCGTGTGAAAATCCGTTCGGTCAATTAGTCATACATATACCAGGAAAACTTTATCATGGCAGATTTCTCCGGTGATTTGGAGTTTGTCGGATATTCGGCGAATGCAAATGCCCTAGGTTTATGCGACGAATTTTACCGCGTTGTCATGCAGAATGAGAACATTGTCACATAGTTATACGCGTTATCCGCACGATGCGACACGCCCGCAACGGGCTTGATGAATATTTGTCGGAAAACGCATCATTCGCCGCTTTCAGAAAACACGCGCATGCACACACACACACACACACATATACACACTCACACAGTGCGTATATCATATAGATATACGGGCCGCGTTAAATGCCGACAGCCTTGAAAACTGCGGCGTAACAAAATTCGAGCTCGTTCAACCCGCTCGTATTTTGTTCCCACGTCCCTCTGTCACGTGCTGCCCAAACTCCCAAAAAAATTTCCTTGTGGAATATTTCCGCGTGCCATACAGTGGTGGCGAAAAAATTACGGTGTTAGTTAACCGCGAGCGTCGAGTTAATTTTCAGTGTATCTCTCCCACGAGCCCGCCTTTAAATACGCTGTTTTTTCGCTCGGGGATCGTTGAAGTGACGCGAGTATAATTTAATTTAAGCAGCAAACGCTTACTCATCACTGCGCCGAGAATTAGAAAAATCCGTTAAAAACCGTTAAAAGAAGAGCACCGGCCAAAAGGAGATGCCCTCGCAGAGAGTTAAATACGCTCTTGCGCATTTGTCGCGTAAGGAACACACCGCGCGATTAGCGCGTCCAAATTGGAGAAGGCTTCGCAAAATCGATACAGATGTCCTGGTACATTCACGATCATATACATTAGTCCGTTTATATCAGAATAAGAAATATATTGTCTCACCCCTTTGCGAAAATTTTACTACTCCACGTAATAGATGCCGAATGTAATTTTTTTAAAAATTCTCGCACAAATATTTGCATATTTTTATCGCAATTCCGACAATAATAGCGTTATATCTATATCACGCTTATTTATCAAGTAAATTCAGGCAGCATCGAGATTAAAATGATACAATTGAATGAGACATTCTTGAGACGGTTGCAGGTATTTAAATGTCTCCTACAATATTAAATATCGTCGAGATATCTCTCGCAAAATCAAACGGTCGTTGTATGAAAGACGCGGAGCGCTCTTTCACGGAGAAAAGGAGAAAGGTTCAGTTGAAAAGGATCGATGTGACAGATATTCGAACGGTGTCTCTGCGCGCGCTGGAAAAGCCTTTGTGTATTCCCCATCCTCCGTATATATGTGCCTTGTGTATCGACATAGTTATATATTTTTCAGGCGAGCCCTTTTACAGTTCGACGCGCGGCTTTAAGGAGCCGCGCCTCCAAGCGCATCCGGGTTATGGCACAACCGAAATTCGTAACTAAGAAATATGATCCCGCGTAAGTGCACAAGTCGTCCGCTCTTCTACCTCGTCAGGTTATCGCGAGTCCTCTACAAAATTTATTATCGCGCAGCGTGGCACCACCCCCTTACCCGCGCATTCATCCGAAGACACTCGCGGCGAAAAGCAGCAGACGTATCGTCGATCTGGCGCTACCCAAAAGAAGGTGCATTTATATCCCTGTGCTCGGTGCTGAGTTAACTCGGTCTTGACGGGAGAGTCTCGAGTTAAATACATAATCAACCTTAAATTCAATCGACTTACATTCAGAAAATTACAAGCGATAGGTCAATTTGATTTATTTCATATTATTTATATAGATATATCAGAAAATTTTTTTTTACTTAAATTATGTATATATTGAATAAAAATATTATTTTTATATGATTATTTGATTTCAATATGTCGGCTGAAAATTGACAACTGATAAAAATTTAGTAGATGATAAATGTACACCGGATTAAAAGCATCTTAAACGTTAGAGTTCTGCTGGAGACGATGAAATTGGCAGCTACCAAAAACGTGAAGGCAACCGTGAGCGATCTGCTGGCGAAGGTTCGAAAGTCGCGGTACCAGCGGTATCGCGTATTCTGCAACACGCGTCAAGAACGAGAAGCAAGGAAAAAGTAAAGTCGATACATTTCCCACCATCACATGTCACGTTTTTCTCTGAGAACGACACGCGCATCCTAGAAATAATCTTCCCTCGGATTTGCACAAGTAACTTGACCTCGATAGTAAATGTGAAAAATACGGGAAATGGTCTGTTTTAATCTCGCTCACGAAAATTACAGAATTAAATGCACATTTACACATTCCGTAGCTGCTGTTTAACTTTTGGTAACGCATTACTCAAATATGAATAAAACGAAACTTACGTGCTGTTTTCGGAAATAATCCACATGTTTACACGTGAAAATGACATTAATTTTCCATTTAAATAACTTGATACAGAATTGCAATAATACATTAGCGAGCAAATAATAAAACATAAGCTTAAACGACATCTATATTGATTTCGCTAATGAACGGGTGCATCAAATTTTGCGTTTAATTAATGGTAGTCACCTGATACTGTTTTAGAATTAATTATTAATAGCGCTCAATGAAATTCGAAATTGCACTTACTCTGAATTTATTGCAATGGTTACAATCATTGGTTCAAAAGCAATTTAATAGTTTCCTGCTATTCTCATTTACTGTGTAATATATGTTTTGTTATGTGAGGATATTTCATGATAACAATTACAGTCACACTTTTCATATTTACAAATTTTTTAACATTAGAAACATAAAAACTCTCCTTTCTTTTACGAAAATCGATAAACGTACTATTTTATAATAATGACAACATTCTTATTGTTCTTTTTACAATTATATTATTACATAATTAAAATATAGTTAAAATAAATCGACATCAGGCCGGTAATTTTTTAAATCGAGATAGACAAATTAATCGATATCCCGAGTTTTACCTTAACAAAATATTTTCAAGTTCCCTTGATAAAATACTCCCTGTAAATTCAGGAGAAAACGAATGGCCAAACTGCGCAAGGCTCTCACAAAACCGGAAGACTGGCAAAGGCACATGCGGGTTCTAGAAAGACTGGCTGCGCCTAAAGTCGTCGTAAGGCCCAAAAAGAGGAAGCCCGTAAGAAAAATGTCGTTCTCCGCTCATAAATCAATATTAATCGATCTAGATAAGAGTATGTTGGTCGCGTCACGGGGGGGAATTCTGATGACGGGGTCAATCGATCGTGCGCACCGACGTTTCAGATTAAGAAGAAAAAGAGGAGACCGATCGACGTGGAGCGTATGCACTTTTTGGCTCTACCGGCGATCCGGGAATTGCCGAAAATCAAGGATCCGTCGAAGGTGGCAGAGCGCGCGCTCACTTATCGGATCACGAAGCGGACGGAGAGACTCGCGGTTTTAAAAAAACGACCGGAAATCCAATTGCGAACGCCGGGCGCCGTTTCGCCAGTCGCGATGAAAGCCATCGGTAGTATACGCACTTTTATTCAGTCTCTTATTAATTGTTTTATCGCGCAATCCCTCGCCCATTTCTCACCCGATATTCATCGCCATCGAGGAAGCATGTCGTTTATATCGATTCGCTGTATCGATACTATTACATGCTATTGGATTTCCGTAACTGCATTTATATGGGGTGCGCGAATAATTCCCTTCCAAAGATTTTATGACAAATTTGCTGTATTTTTCCCTGACAAGCATTTTATAAAAATTTCTCTTTTATTATTTAATAGAAATTTTTTATATAACTTTTAATAGAAATATTTTATAAATTGAATGTTTCGAAATAAAAAATACTGTTAAATTTTGAGAATTTTTCTGAAATTATTTAATATTAAAGCTTTTATCCCGAATTATATAAATATCATATCACAAATAGTTTTTAGTTAATTCCGACAATAAATTTAATAATATTTTTTATTTCGAAATACTTAATTTTTAAATATAATTTATACAAAATAATCATTTATATAAAAAACTTCTAATAAGTAATAAAAGCGAAATTTTAAAATGTTTGTCACGGAAAATAGAGCAAATCTGCTATTTTTCTTGGCAAGTCCTCTATTATTTCTAATATATATAGACCACTACTACTTATGGCTATCGTATATATCCGATGAATTTAGGACACCCTGCATAGTAAATCCGTGATTTCGCCGGCCCCATTTCTATACGTTGGAAAAGACGACGGATTTGCTCCTCGGTGGCTGCGCGACTGTTCAATAGCTTATGCGGTAACATTGAGGTTTCGCGAACATATTCCATATTCCATATTTCATATATGTATATATATATATATATATATATATATATATATATTTATTACGGGATAAAAATGAAATTCACATATATATATTTTTTTTAACGAGTATGTTTTAAGCAAATACCTTTCAAAATCGAACATTGATGAGAAATATTGGTTAGATTACAATTTTAATGACATTGAAAATATTTTTATGTGGAATTGTTAATTGAGCTAAAATTTGATAAAAATTTTTATGAAAGTAATAAAACGTTTAGCGCGTATCGTATTCATTTTTGATCAATATCGAAAATATTTCGCTATTAATTTCAGATATCACTAAATTTCGCGTGATATAATGCGGAATTCGCGTTATCTTTCCGTTCAACCATAACTGCGTGGTAACGATTTTGTAGCATTTGATATAGACACAGGGGAGATAAACGGGATATGGTCTACACATTAAGCTCGCAGTACACGAATCGTGTTTTGTTACCGATCTGCCTGTAAATGCTACTGCATTGCTCGCTAGACTGTCTTGCGCTATTTCATATTGTAATGTTAGCGACACTTGTCGGTATTATAATTATTTAATGAAAATCGCTTGCAACGCGAAAGCAATTTATTCCCAATCTCTAGTACAAAGACATACACAATTCTATTTAATATTGCTTAATATTAAGCATATATAATATATAGTAAAATGGTGTAATAGAACTCCACATTTTCAGAAATTAATATGATATTTATGATGAATAGATTTTATTAATAATTAAAATTTACAAAGACTTACTAATATTATAATTAATAATTGCACGAATTTTTGATTTATTCGAGTATCTTAATTAAATTTGGAATTTTCAACTTTTTAAAAATATTGAAAAGGATATGTTTCCGGATTTCGATGAAAAACATCTCAAATAACTACAATCAACAAAAATACATTTTTTAAAAATAAAATTCAACGAAATATGAAAATTCATATCTTGATTCAATAAAAGTATTGATTGTAAATATTTATAAGGATTGCATTATTCTTTCTATTTCTTTTAAAAAGAAACATTGACCCATTTATAGTGCCTTGATCTTCCTCGTTGTTTCTAGCAACCTCTTCGCTTCATTCCATCCTTGTAGCTTTTCTTTTATACGTCTTGTTCATAATCTGCAAAAAAATGATAAAAAAAATATTATAATAGAGCTAGGCACATTATTCCTAACATGGGGCATTTCTGCATTTTTTAACTCCTCATACATATAGAAAAGACATTTATGTATGGCTATTATATATTTTGTAGATTATATCTTGAGAAATATATAGTAAGAATATGTATAAACATAATAACAATTATTTTTATTGAATGAAAAAAATGATAAAAATGTTTGCCAAAAAATTTTACAATATTTTTCCTTTAAAGTTATTGAGAGATGTGAAATCCCACTCGGAACAGTTCTATGCGGTTTTCCGATTGATTGTGTATATTGCCAATTATCTTTTTCTCGTTTCCATAACACTTATTGGTAAGCTCATCATGCCTGGGGGAGCAATGAATGGGGCATTTTCTCTGTCGGGGTGTATTACATCGTTTTATCCTATATATTATTCCATTAATATATTTGATTTTGTTAATTGCATTTTTATTGGACTTTTGCACATCGAGTTTCGTTTTTATTATTTTAATATCGATTATTTTTTCACCATACTGTCCATTTTTTTATATTTTTGGCCAGTTTGAAACTCTATTCAACAATTTTTCACATATGTCGGTCAGTTTTTTCATTCCGTTTGTGTATACCGTGTCCTGCGGCGCGTTAGTCGGCCGCGTCTGATTAAACGACGTCTTCTTCCACTATCGATCGACAAGGCGGCCGTGCGACAGTAGATTAATTTTCCTTTGAGCCGCGCGGCAGGAACGTAAATAAACGGGTCTAAATAGTCGAGAGTCGATTGTCGGATCAAACCTGTGTATCGAGAGCAACCATCCTTCTCTCTCTTCCTCTCTCCCTCTATCTCTCTTTCTCTCTGTCCCTCCCTCTTTCTCTCTCCCTCTTTCTTTTCTTCCTCCTCTCTTCCTCTCTCTTTCTTTAAGTCAACTTAAGTATCGTCTAGTGCCGCCTGTTGTATGTAACTTTCTCTGTAACATATTTCTAAGGGGATGCCTGCTCGAGTTTCTCTTCGAGCTATCGTCGAGCGTAAACCGACGTCTCGTCGCTGACATGGAATTTAATTTTGCGCGCGAGACGTTGCCTGATACAAAACGTACAAGTCCATCGAGCCTCTCGACGATAATAGGAAGGCGTGCAGTACATAAAATGAGAGCCGGCCGCTTTTAATTTTCTCGTATAATCGCGCGCGACGAGAGCGAGTCGGTGCGGAACATTTTTTCCTATTGAAATCCGTAATAAAATACGAGATACAGAGGAGAGAGTATAGTGAAAAACGTGCCCGATCGCGTTCAACTTTTGTAATATATCTTTCACGCGCGCTCCGGCTATAAAGCAAGAGACATAAATCAAAATATTGTACTTTTCAGGAGAGGCAAAAGAAGATTAAAGTATTAAATATTAACCAAATAAGTCTCTCTTGATGCTATATTCTAAAAAAATTATCCACATACTGTTTAATTATCTCAATTTCGACAAAAGTGACTTTTGAGACTTTTTTTTTTTTTTTTTAGAAAATGTAACACATTATCCAAATTACTATTTTCGACCCGGAATTTTAATAGTTAGAAATTTACTTATTTATGAATATTTTTAATCGTACACGACTATAATTAATACTGGTGCAAACACACACATTGCATATTAGAACATTAATCTATGTATATTGCTATATTACGTAGTCGTGTGTAATGTAACTGCCGAGCAACTAATCAAACAAATATCGCTCTATCGGCTGCGGTTCGTGCAAAATGAAATTCAGGTGAGATTATACATTTACGGTAACCGCGGGAAATAGTTTGTTTCATAGTACAATATAGTTAGTCTTGCCTCATGCGCGCGGTGAACTCGTTGATAAAAATAAAGCGGTAGCAAGGCAATATTAATGGATAGGACTGACTATTCAGACGGTGTAACCCATTTAATGCCACAGCTTCCGAGAGAATAATCGCTTTGGCGAAACCTGTTCAACGTCCTACGGGCATACAGACGGACTTACGTGAGGACGCCTTCGTTGTCTCGCCGGCAGCGTTAAAGGCGAGGTGTTCCAAACGTCTCAAGAGTCTCGCCAAACCGAAGAAATACCCTAAACCCGTCTTCAAGAGATTGAAAACCGCGCTTAAACGATGAAACGGCACGGGAATAATGGAGTAGATACATTTATACAACTCACGCTTTTTGTTTTTTTTTTTTTTTTTTTTTTTCAAGTGCAGACGCGTTAAAAATTTGCAATTGTATTGCAATATCCTCGTGCAATTTTATAAATGAGTGAGAACCAGATTATACAATTTTCAGCCTTCTCGAGCAAAATACATTATATTATGATTATAATGAGAATGTGTAATATGTTGGCGGAACATTTACGTAATAATCTGAGTACTTCTGTATGTAACGCAAATATATATACTGTTTTTATTAATAAATTATGATTTAGAATGGAGATTGCAGCGAATATATTGCATCGCAAGAATAATAATTCATCCCACATGCGATAATCGGAACGCATCTGGTATTAGCGCTACACTTTGATGTATTCGCGAAACATGTGTGAGGTACACGTTATATTTTGCAAACGCACCTATGATTCGCCTCGCGAGATGGCACGGGCAATATATCAAAAAGCGTACGGGTTTGTCGTGTTGCATTATGAGCGCGTTGCGGCAAAATCGTGAGATATAACCGACGTCGACGTCGTAAATTAGGCCAAGCCGGCAATCTGCTAACGCTCGAAACGGATTACTGTTACGTAATGTTATAACGAACATTCTAGCTGTCGCGCAACTTCGTAAAGACATTCCGCGTTTGCGTGATATCCCAAATGGAAAGACGAGAGGTTCGCGAAAGCGAGCTCGCCGGACGCCTTTAACGCGTTCGGTATTTTCTTATTTGCGAAAGGAATGCGCGAGAAATACGACACACGCCCTTAAACGCTCGACGATATTAAAGGGACGTTTATACGGGAACGAGCTAAGGTAACCGTGCTCTCCTCGCGCGTGTAGAATATTTTCTTTCTGAGATGAACTGACAATTCTATTCGCGCAAAGTAAGTAAAAAGAACAAATAATGGATTGACTGTAATAATTAATTATGTTTAAATTGATGGCATTTATTTATAAGAAAATACATATGTATGATTTCTTAGAAATACGATTTTTTAAGAGACCGAATGAAATTACTCGAATAGGATATGTATTTTATTCACGTAAATTATGACATTTGTGTTAGTCGGGTCTAATACTTAACTTTCTCCGTTTTTTTTATTTTATTTTATTTGCATTCTCATTTCATAAATTCAGTACGCCTTGGCTTTTCTAAATGATACCGACATTAACATTCTCGACATTGCGAAATTATTTAATTAAAGGCACCTTGTACATCTTTACCTTTGTCGGAAAGTTAAAGGGATGGTCTTTGAATTTGTAGTCGCTAACATTTTTCTTCTCCGTTACACCCGACCTTTTCTTAATTAACATCTCGTTCTCTGGCTAATGTTACTAATAGCAGTGTAAGAAACGAACGATCAAAGTAAGCTCTACAAAAGGCACGCTCAACATTTGACAAGCAGTCGATTCCTTCCTCGTATTTTGCACAGCTTAAATTCAATGATTTCGAACGATATTCAATACGAATACAATACTCGTTCGTGATAAACTATCCTGAAATGTGTTATTTTGCATCGTTATTTCCCATTTGAGGCATTTCTATTTGTAGAAAATTTCATGCAATTCGTATGGTACGTGAATATAATCAGCTCTGCCTTGATAGCGAACGATCATATAACTTTTCAGCCAAATTGATTGAACGTCATAAAGCTAGCACTTAGCTAATTATTAATATGTAAGCTTTGTTTGCGTATTATTAAATTTTAATGACGTTCTTTAATCAGTTTAGAAACTTCTTGTTCGTTTATAAACATACTTAGCATGAAAAAGTTTCAAGAAATGTCGATTTAAATCAAAATTCCCGTTGAAGCGAAAAATCGACACTTCAAATTTATCAAAGAATACATCGTTGAAATTGATCGTTGGTAGAAAGAACGTCTTATATAAATTCTAATATAAATTGACCAACACAAAAACGGTCATATTTTATTATACGCTGAAAGAGAGATACACACACTCGCACCCACAGCGACAGTCCCTTTCATCACGCGAAAAGCGATTGATAACAAATCCTATCGCGGATAAAGAGAATCAAAGGATCGAAAGGCCAGCTTTAATGTACAGGTATAGACTGATGCTAAAAATTCTAGCTTTGTCCGAAAGCAAATTTTGTTTCAAAGGGTTACCTCGATATATATCCTCTCCCTCCCTCGCCGCCCTCCCTCACCTACTATCCTTCGCCTTTTTCGCCACCGCAACCTTGATCCAGCCGGAACGTTTGATCCAGCGGGATCCGGCTCGCATCAATAGCATCGGACAGCTAAACGGGAGCATGAAAAATGGACCCGAAGGGGTTAAAACGATTCAACAAACGTCGGATGCGTCCGGCGGTCGGATTGTGACAAGATATAGAACTTTGGCAGCGATGGAGGGGACGGAGATGGGGCCTTCGCAAATACACTTCGCGCGGTCAACTCGCGACGAATCGACCGCGCGGATATCGCGGTTCGAACAGAATATAAATGTAAACGGCAGGAATATGCGGTCGCGCAATTCCATTCACGTTCTGACACTCCTGCGCCCCGGCTGTCACCGTCGACCAGAATTGCGCGGTCCGCGTTTGACCCCTCGCGTTCCACTCCAGCTCCATTCCTTCTCCTCCGTTCCCCTGATCCACAGAGCCGCATCCCCTTATCGGAGCGAGAGGGTGTCCGGCAACCCGAAACTATGCGCGGCAGCTACTCGCGGTCACCTAAATCAGTGCCTCTCAAATTGGGTTAAGAGCTTCCAGAGTATGTTGATTAATTTTATTTCAGTCTATTTACCTCGGTATGTATGCTTTGGGCAGAATTTTGCGAACCGAATGAGAGATGAGATTATTTCGGCTAAACCTGTTACGCTTATTACCACGTATTACCTGACGGTAATTTTAATTGTCGCTTTTTTCTAATTTTATTAAAGTTTGCTCGGATTATTATATTTGAAAGTAAATTTAATAAAGTAGTAGTTCCATTATTTTTTTTTAATTATAATTGAGAAAAGGATAAAGATTATATAGGTAAAATATGAGAAACACTGAGATAAATTGGAATGCAAATACAATGCACGTTGAGATCGGCATTTATGCACTCTCTGAATATTTTTATAACGGGGATTATACGTTTTGCTTGTTTCATATATCCGGTTTTTCAAATCTCTTATACCATCCAGTGAATCATTACGATGTAGTGTATGATAAATGTATAAGTGGTGGCTGAGAGTTTTCCTCTCTGAAAACGACTCTCGATAAATTTAACTCAACTGAAAGAAACTTTTATGTATGTACGAACTTAACTTTGAAATTATGATTGGGGTTCTGAGAGGATACATCTAAACTATAAATTGAAGTTTCTGAAATATAAACTAAAAGGGCAAATACAAAAACATAAAAAAATATATTGATTTCAATATTTTGACATTTTTATAAGTGAAATTTTTGTTAAAAGAAGTATAAAATTGTCAGTTTTCGTAAAAGGAAAAAAAAGAAACTTCGTTGGAGAAAGTAGAAAAATTTGTTGAAAGTTAAAATAGAAATTCCCTCCTGTCACATGTTAGCTAATTTTCTCAATATTCAATCATCTTTAAACTACCGTATTCTAAGAATATTTTCTTTTTTAATCTTCTTAATCATCAAACATATCAAAAAGGAGAGAACATTCGAATTATATTATTATATTCTTTCTTATATTAAGAAAATATTTCAGAAATAATCGAAAATATCTTATTTTTATTAATACAATAATGACACATGATGCAGAAATTAACAAATAATTAATATATAAGTAATAAATAATAAATTAAGTGAATTTTAGAAATTGCTTAGCCTTGCTTATAATCGTCGACTAATGCTTCTTTAATTTCTTTTTGTTTTATTTCTTTCTCGCTCCTTTTCCACGGTACATAATCACTTACATAGAACATTAATCGTTCGCGACGTACGCTTTATTACACGAAAGAAAAACGCGAGAAAATAACGATAGCACAAAATTATGATTCGCTCACGATGTCTCGTAGATTGCGCAATGCACAAATCATAAACGATAGAGGGAATTTGAAAATTGTGTGGGCAATTTTACGCGTCACTCCCCATGGCGATGCTAAACCTGTTGCTTCAGTTTCGTACATTTTCCGTATTTCGAATAATAAAAAATAATAAATAAAACGAATGTTTTCTCTTACTATAATATACAAATAAATAAATATTAAAATTAGATATACATATAAACTGGAATATTCGAAAATATGCTTGTCGCGTTTTATCAACTACTCGAGCGAAAGATTTTGATCATATAAATCTTGCGAGATATGTTTTAAGAAATCATACATACACGTCGAATTTTTTATTATGATAAATTGATTGCAATTACATGATTGATAAATATTAATATACAAAGTTAAATTTTGTTCTAAAATATCAAAGATCGCTTGTTTCAGATTTCATTATAAATTTTATGTTAAAATATTATAAAAAAATAAAAAATTTGAAAATATAATTAAAATTTAATATTGCATGTGTAATATATTATACTTGGAACATATAAAACACATAATTTTGCGAAATACAGGTATCATTAATGAACATAAATTAAAATATTATGATTTTCTATTATTTGAATCGTTGGATCCAATGTTTCGTATATTATTTCATGTTTTCTAAAAAAGCTGACCAAATTTAATTCATGAAAAAGTTGAAGACCAAAAATGTATGAATTCAAGCATTAAAAAAATAATTATTCCTCGCATAAATATCATAATATAAAAAGTAATTATTTCTAATTTTCTTATTAATTGCTTCAATTTTCATCTTTGAATATTTTGCGATTTGTTTCATTTTTCGCATATTGCCTGAAATAATAACAAATTCCTTGATCATTTAAAATAATAATGAATTACTTGATTGAAAGCGTTTTAGAAATCTAATAAAGATACGTATATACATAAAATGCGAATACATGTCAATTGCTGTACGCAATTTAAATAAGAAATTAATCCTGGATTCAATTAACACGTTTCAAAGTTAAAAGCCCAACGTA